AACTGGGAAGCCATGAGTTCTAGTCCTACCATTGGTATAAAGTCAGCTAGGTGACCTTGGGCCAGTCACTCTCAGCCCAAGGCAATGGCAAGCCACTTCTGAAATCTTGCCAAGAAAACTGAAAGGAACTTGACTCAGCAGTTGCCGGGAATTGAAGGAACACACACACACACACAAAATCTGTACCTGAAGATTCAAATATGCTGTACATAGGAAAGGACATTGACCTGCCAAATGTTGGTGATACATGACCAACTTATCCCTATATTTCCACTAAAAGAAACTGCATAAACATGGTAAAGGATACAAAGAGTGAGGACTTAACCAAACTTGTATTACATACAAAATTGGGAAACTTTCTCTAAAATATCCATTTTGCATCAGTTTAAATTCCCTATGGGAAACTATTTTGCTACTTCCAAGTGATTCTCAGTATGAGGTCTAGCCCTTAAATTATCTAACATAGCAATACCTGCTACATATCTATCCTACAGGTTTAAGTGAGACCTTCCTGCACTATTAGAAAAGATCACTGATCTAATTTTTTAAAAATATATTTCTTTTGATCTTTTGGTAAAATAACTAAATCCAAGGAAAGATAGATTTTTTTTTTGTACATTTAATAGTGTTGAAGATGCTTTTCTCAGTCATGGGCCACTTGCAACTGAAATAAAAACTTGCTTTTATTAATATTCCCTTATTCGTATCCATATTAAATGGCAGATGAATCTTATAAATTGTTTACAGTAGACCCGAATCAGCAAAGATACAAAAGCATTTAGCATACATATTAAAGTAGTCTATATTCTGAAAATGTTCTGTCATTTAAATGAACTTTACTATCCTATGTGAATGAATGCATTTTAGCCTGGGTACTGAATTAACCCAAGGGGAAGTGTCAAAATGCACCGAACCAGAAACTTAGCAAGGTTTGTTTATAGAACAGTCAGCCCACAAAAAAACTATGACTAATGCTAACTAAACATTGGTTAGACTTAGCTAATTCTTTTGTTTGCCAGTCTAAACATACTATATGAATAACGTCTATAACTAGCTATTAGTTTAATTATTATATTAATTATAGAGAAAAGGTTGTGCATGTGTGTACAATAAATATACCCTGCATAAATTTATATTGTTCCAAAAAAGCAATTATCCACACATACATGCAAATAAATTTAAACTGTTATATGATTTGAAAAAGCTATTGGAAATGATTTGTGGTACCCAAAATATTTTAAGATCTTTATCAATCTTTTCTCTATCATACATATCACTGATCAAGTTACTCAGATGCTTCAGGTATTTTAGAAAAAAATATTAGATTGCCAAGTTTTAAAAGATAGTTGGTGTGATCAAGTGTTAAGCTGTAACAGCCAAGTTCAGCCACCTTTCCATAGAAAATTGTTAAGTTAATCATGGAAGGGGACTTGCAATTCTCTATACATTGAATTTCTAACAGCTCCAAGTAGCTTGTTTGACCAAGTGCTGTGGAAGTTGTACCTCAGTATCTAAAGAGTTGACTTTTCTTATTCAACTTGGGCTATCCTAGCAGAACATTAGTAACCTGGAATAGATTATTAAATATGGGTTGACCTCAATAAATAGCATTTTGATTTTCCCATTTGATGATAATCAGAACAATCACACCAAAGGTCTCGAAGGACACCAAATGTTAATAGTTCCTAACCTGCAGCTGCAGCCCTGGGCACATTTTGTCATGAATTATATCCAAGCATGCACATATTTTTCAATGGTTTCTTAGGTATATGCAAAAGCTAGAATACTTAACTATATTTCAAAGATTTTATTAACCTCAGCTATTTCCCATGTGTCAGGATCTCCCTGTAAAATGTTATCCATTTAGCTTCTTTTATCAAGCCACTCGCATCCACTTTCTAAAGCTCAGCTTAAGTTTTTGTCCTATATAATTGGTAACTTTTATGCTGACATTAGCTGTTCAACTGGTTATGGCAGCAAAATTAATTAGAAATGGTTCTGTATTTTAATGAATCTAGCCAGTCTCTGCTTTTGAAGCTTTTTTTAAACTTTAAAGCAAGTGATATTTGGATTATTACAGGATTTAGCAGGCTAGTGCATAATTTTAATTAAAGGAAAGCAAGACTTAATTGCTGCTAATTGGCAAAGACAAAGATGGCACTTATGTCAGAATACATCTGCTAACTAGCATGTAGTGTCAGACTGAGCATGGCAATGTAATGCACCCCCTTCTGCCTGCCAAATTTCTGCTTAGTAAACTTATTGTCACTATTATCAGACAGTGCATTCTGAAAATTCAAAACCCCATGAAAATATTCTACCTGCAATATCTTTTAACATCAGCACATGATAAAATATTTAACCTCGACCATTAGAGCTGTTACTGTTAAGTAAAAGCAACACATAGGGCTCCCTGCATGCTATTAAAAACTTACACTTAGAAAGAAAGGGAAAAAAAAGGAAATGTATGCTTCAAATAACTTTTATTACCAAAATTTCAAAATAATCAGACCAAAAAGTTGCCAAAAAATAACATAAGGCTTTTTTTAATGTTTAACATTTTCCATACTCTTCTGAAATGTTCTTCCCTCAATCGTAATGCTCAAGTAGATATTTACAACAGTGAACAGAAAAACCAAACATCCACCAACTAGCATAGGTATCTTAATACTAAGACAAACTTTATCTGCAACAAAATGAGCTGGCAATGCTTTCCAATAAAGTAGAGAGCAAGATAATACCTCCTCCCTTACACACCCACAGGCTCCATGGGGAAAGAGTAGAGCAGATGGCAATTGCTCATACAGTCCAGTCCATGGTAGCTTAATCTACTTCTTCAATAGTGGGACCACCACCTGGAGCACCAGCACCAGCAGCTCCTGCACCCTGGTACAATTTGGCAATGATGGGGTTACAAAGCTTCTCTAGCTCCTTCTGCTTATGCTCAAATTCTTCCTTCTCTGCCATCTGGTTTCGATCGAGCCAGTTGATCACCTCTTGGCACTTTTCAAGCACCCTCTGCCTGTCTTGCTCACTAATCTTGCCTTTCAGCTTGTCATCCTCCACAGTCTGCTTGATGTTGTATGCATAGGATTCCAGGGCATTTTTGGAAACTACTCGTTCTCGGTTAGCCTCATCCTCTGCCTTGTAACGCTCTGCTTCTTGCACCATGCGGTCAATGTCATCTTTGCTGAGGCGGCCTTTGTCATTAGTTATTGTAATCTTGTTCTCCTTTCCTGTGCTCTTGTCCACTGCAGTAACATTGAGGATACCATTTGCATCTATGTCAAATGTCACCTCAATTTGGGGCACACCACGAGGTGCAGGTGGAATACCTGTCAGGTCAAACTTGCCCAGCAGATTGTTGTCCTTGGTCATGGCTCTCTCACCCTCATACACTTGTACCAGCACACTACTCTGGTTGTCTGAATAGGTAGTGAAGGTCTGAGTTTGCTTGGTGGGAATAGTTGTGTTGCGCTTGATTAAGGCAGTCATCACACCACCAGCAGTCTCAATACCCAGAGAAAGTGGTGCTACATCAAGCAGCAGGAGGTCTTGCACATTTTCTGATTTGTCACCCATCAGAATAGCAGCCTGCACAGCAGCACCATATGCTACAGCTTCATCGGGATTTATGCTTTTGTTTAGCTCTTTTCCATTAAAGAAGTCTTGGAGCAACTTTTGGATCTTGGGAATACGAGTTGAGCCACCAACCAGAACAATTTCATTAATCTGTCCTTTGTCTAGCTTAGCATCACGAAGAGCCTTCTCCACAGGTTCAAGAGTACCACGGAAGAGATCAGCATTGAGCTCCTCAAAACGAGCACGGGTAATGGATGTATAGAAATCAATGCCATCAAATAATGAGTCAATCTCAATAGAAGCCTGGGTGGAGGAGCTCAGGGTACGTTTGGCTCTCTCACAGGCTGTGCGGAGCCGTCGAACTGCTCGCTTGTTGCCAGCAATGTCACGCTTATGCTTGCGCTTGAATTCCTCCACAAAGTGACTCACCATGCGATTGTCAAAGTCCTCCCCACCCAAGTGGGTATCTCCAGCAGTAGATTTCACTTCAAAGATGCCATCTTCAATGGTCAAAATGGAAACATCAAATGTGCCACCACCCAAGTCAAAGATCAGCACGTTCTTCTCACCTGCTCTGCTCCCTTTTTTATCCAAACCATAGGCAATGGCAGCGGCCGTGGGCTCATTAATGATGCGCAATACGTTGAGACCTGTAATGGTACCTGCATCTTTGGTGGCTTGGCGTTGGGAGTCATTGAAGTATGCAGGTACAGTAATTACAGCACTCTGGACTTTGCAACCCAGATAAGCCTCGGCTATTTCCTTCATTTTGGTCAATACCATAGAGGAAATTTCTTCAGGAAAGAAATTCTTGTTCTCACCCTTGTACTCGACTTGCACCTTGGGCTTCCCAGCTTCACTCACCACACGGAAAGGCCAGTGCTTCATATCGGACTGCACCGTAGGGTCATCAAATTTGCGGCCGATGAGACGCTTGGCATCGAAGATGGTGTTGTTGGGATTCATAGCCACTTGATTCTTGGCTGCATCTCCGATGAGGCGTTCAGTGTCCGTAAAGGCAACATAACTCGGTGTAGTGCGGTTGCCTTGGTCGTTGGCGATAATCTCCACTTTCCCGTGCTGGAAAACTCCGACGCAGGAGTATGTGGTGCCCAAGTCGATGCCTATGGCAGGCGCTTTGCCCGACATGGTTGCAGGAACGCGATCAAGATATCCCTCTAAAACTTCGAGGATTGATTAAAATGAAAGTTTTCAGGAGCCGGCCGTTACACGCCAACAACGGACAACCTCAGCGATTTGCCGTTGCGTTCGCCTCAGCTTCCTTTTATACTGGTAGTGCACCAGCTTCTGGAATCTGCCAGAAGCCAATTGCCCAATCACGTCATTCTTTACCGATGTCTAACCAATCCCTTTGGTATGTCCTTGCCCCTTCTTCCGTCACAGTTGGAAATTTCCAGAGGAGGCGCGCTCCGTCTAGAAGGATTGATGTCACCAGCGACCAATAAAGATTCGGGACGCTCTCCTTGGGCGGTCTCGAACCGCCTTCTGGGCGGTCGTTACGCCCTTCCCTCCAGTGACTGGAGTGGTTAAACTCGTTTTGTATGTTTAAGTTCCTTTCGGGGTTCAGCCCTTCCTTTCGCTTCTAGCGGCGCCTGGAAGATTCGGGGCGCGCACCGGGGGGGGGGGGGGGGGGGGATGTCTGCCGGCTGGAGGAGGAAGGGACGGTTGAGGAAAAAAGTGTTCTCTGAGGAAAAAAATCAGCTCCCTAACGGGAAAATGACTTAACTATCGCAAACTTGAGCCATCATGTCGAGACCCAGGGCCAGACGCAACATTGCTTCTGAGCATATACTGAGTTTGCTTCCTCTCACGCGCGCTGTTATTATTGACTGACAAGTTATATGTCTTTTACATCAAACTACTGTATCACAAACACACACAGGTCTTTTTTTAAAGCAAGTTTATTGGTTCATGCAATTTTTTTCCGCATAGAAAATCATTATTTTTCAGCCTCCAGAATATAAAGAGAGCAAGTGTAGTTGTTCAGGTGCTGGGCTAGAAGGCTGGAGACAGTTTGTTCTGGGCTTCCCTTGCTGGGTGACTGAGCACTTGCTGTTCCCCAGCCCAACCCTCCAGAAAGTTGTGTAGAGAAAATAGACAGGGATATTTAGTTTTGAAATAATAGAAAATATTATTTTAATATTTAGTTGACCAAACATGTACTTTGAAAAAGTGATAAAATATAATAATAGTGGCTATTGGCACACTGGGTGCCATGCCAAAAAAATTTGGGCAGCATTTAGAAAATCTGTGCATTGGCAAAATATTTATCTTTCAATTATAAAAGGCCATACTGCTTGATCTGCATGAATACTACTACATGAAGACATCCTATATTCTTGGGAAGAATTCAATGTGTATGAAGGCTAATTCCAACCAAGGAATTGACAGCTGTGATCTCACATTGTAGTGTATATGATAATAGTGGTAATAGATCTCAGGTTTACTGATAGTATCTTCAAAAGAAATAATAAGATTTTTCACACAGTGCATAATTAAATGTACCGAATTCTGTACTACAAAGTGTGGCTGCTGGCTTAGAACATAAAAGATACCGAGGAGAATAAGTAAATGAAAGACAAGGGGATTTTGCATATTGGATGTAAGCCAAGATAGCTACATAAAACTTCAGAGTGTATATTTCTGAACTACATAGAAAGAGACAGTGCTTTTAGGACCCTGGGGTGGGCTTTCTGCACTTAGAATATTCTAAACTGAGGATTCACTCTCATGTCTTCTAACTGGCACAAATATATCCTGGTAACCATTTTTATGACATGAACTCATGAATATGTCTTCATAGGCAGCTTAAAATCATTTTTAGCTGCTGTAGTTTTAAAGTAAACTACTTTCCCCCTCCTTAACCAACAGAGTTCTAACAGGTTTCATCAACCTGGGGTCGGGGACTGAAACTTGCTTAGATCCCATCGATCATTTTAGACTGCTGTGGGAATGTGCCCTTTATTTCAGTTACTGAGATCTGCTCTCCATTACCATTTTGATTAGGCTAAAAGGAAGAGTCTATGTCTGGCATTTCAATGCCTCAGCAAAGATGAAACTCAGAATCGAGATCTATTTAACCACTATTCAACCCCGGAATTATTTAAAAAATGGTATGTACAGAATCCATTTTCCTTCACAGAAACATAATTTGAAAGTTCCTTAACCATTTTGTACCTGAGTGAAAAACTTTTGGAGTTAATTAAATCTCTCAAGTTAGATAAATAGCCATGTCAGCATGTAGTGCTAAAATAGGTCAAGTCGTACTTTTCCTAAAAATAATATGAGAGCAGCAAGGACCTAAAGTCAATGAAGGATTGAAGCTACAGCAAGTGTAGGGCAATTTAGACTAAAATTAAGGTAGCAGCACTGCAGATAAAAGAAATCAGGGCAATATAGTAGTAACTTGTACCATGTAAGTTTAATAATGTTTTATAGGTTATTGTAATAACATGATTGTGAAACATAAATAAAATACCAGTCTTTGGAGGAAGCCTTTGTTTGAGTTAACAAATACTATGAATAAACAATAAACTGTTGTTTTCTTGCCTTTATACTGCACTCTACACTATATATACCCTGTATTTTATACTGCACCCTATAATTCTCTGGGCACTGAAGTCAGTCATTTAAATATGATTAAATATTATATTAAATAGATAGTCACTTAAATATAAGCCAGCAGTGTGCTGCAACCCCCAAAAAAGCCCTTTTGTGTACTTGTGGACTTGTGGACTTCAACTCCCAAAATTGCCAGCATCGCTGACTCAAGAATTCTGGGAGTTGAAGTCCACAAATTAAAAGGGCCATCATTCCCCGCTCCTGCTATGAGAGTCACCTTGCAGCGAGATAGATGGCAAACACATTTAATAAATAATTTTTAAAAATTTATCAATGGAACCTGGAGCATGCAACATTGACAAATCATGTAGGAGAGGCAACTTTTGGAAGTAGTCTTGCAGGAATGTAGACCTATCTTGCATATACTGTACAGCTTCTAAGGTGATGACTGCATGTTTAGAGTTTTTAGAACATTTTGAATACTGAGAGCAAGCTTATTCTTTGTGGTTTCTTATGTAAATAAATGACAAAAAAGGAACCTTAAGCTTTGCAAAAGAATAACAAATCTTCAGAGAGGAAAATAATTTTACCTTTTTTGTTGTAGTGCAAGAAATTATCTGATGGTGAATTTCTGGTAAAACCAGAAAAGAAATGTGATTAGTTCTGCACAGTATGTGCTGGGAATGTGTATAAAAAAATTAAGCATTAAAATGTCATTCTCTCTGAAAAGGAAAAAAAAGAAAATCTTTGTCTAAGCAGATTCTTTAAAATTGTTTATTCTTTCAACAAGCATTTCCATCACATAGAAGAAAGCATTCACATACACATTTTAAATCGTGTCAAACTCGATTGTGTCACGTGACATATCGTGATGTATCGTGATGTTTTTTCCTTTCTGGAGCCCAGGTGGGTGTGGCCTGCACATGACACATCTGACCCATGGGCCACCAGTTTGACACCCCTGTTTTAGACCATAGTTAATTAATGTTATTTCAAATGAAAGTGTATTATTTTGTTACAAATATAGTCTCTCACTTCATATACTGAAGCCATATGTTTAATGTATCATAAGGAGAAAAAAATCAGAAAATAGGAAAAGGGTGTTCCCAATTAAATAATTTAATTATTTTAATTAATTTATCATCCCTTCTAATTTAAATTTTCATAAAAGGTGGTTCACAATCCCAAATAAAAAAAATCACACTATAGGTATTTGAAATAATCAGAACAAGGTAAAGTTATATTTTAACTCTTTTGGGGAAGAAATAATAAAATTACCTCACTAATTATTTCCCATATTATATCATTTTAAATTCATCTTGTGGAGGGAATTGCATGAATTTTAGTAGTAGTAATTTTTATTACAGTCACAGATCATAGAAATTAAGTATATATTTTTATATATTGATCATTCTTGAATTTGCTTCAACTTTTTGTGTTATGCTAATGTGAAGTGGAACTTCCTTATATGCAATTAATGCAATTACCTTACAATTGCTAAACTTTGTTTTCATTTTTGCAAAGCTATTATTAAATTTTCATACTGATCTGATAAAATAACTTCTGCCTGTGAGGGTTCTAAACAATTGATGGGATTTACAAACTTAGGTGGGAGTAAATCCCATTATGTTTATTGAAACTTACTTTAAATAGATTTGTATAGGATTTCAACATTAGCTTTGGTATTAAAATTAAAATAGCATTTTTACACCTCATATTGGATGTTTTAGCACATATTTTAGGGCATATGAGATGTTTTTAGCACACACACTTTAGAATAACCAAGGTTTTTCAGAACATGCTTGCATGCTGTGTTTATGATATGCAGAATGTCAATATACAATTTATCTCTGAATATCAGATGTAAGACACAGTGAAGGCATGAAATCTCCAGCAATAAGAAAATTCCATATTGATAATTGTATTATATTAGGTTAGATGAATACTGATCAGTGGTGGGTTTCAGCAGGTTCTGACCAGTTCTGGAGAACCGGTAGCGGAAATTTTGAGTAGTTCGGAGAACCGGTAGTAAAAGTTATGACTGGCCCCGTTCCCATCTATTCTCTACCTCCCAAGTCCCAGCTGATCGGGAGGAAATAGGGATTTATTTATTTTTTAATTTGATTTATATGCCGCCCTTCTCCGGAGACTCAGGGCGGCTTACAGTGCGTTAAGCAATAGCCTTCATACTTTTGTATATTTTATACAAAGTCAGCTTATTGCCCCCACAAACTGGGTCCTCAATTTACCTACCTTAGAAAGGATGGAAGGCTGAGTCAATCTTGAGCCTGGCAAGATTCGAACTTACTTTAATTGCAGACAGCTGGTGTTAAATTACAGTGCTTTAGTCTGCAGAGCTATCCAGGCTCTGGATTTTGCAGTACCATTCCCCTGGAGTGGGGAGAGAATGGAGAATGGAGATCCTTCCCCTGCCACGCTCACCAAACCACGCCCACCAAGCCATGCCATGCCCACCAAGCCACGTCCACAGAACCGGTAGTAAAAAATTTTGAAACCCACCACTGATACTGATATATATGCAGCAGAATATATAGAATAGACAGCAGAAAGTTTTTATTTCATTTCAATTTATTCTAATTTGATGACAATTATAATACCAGCTTCATCAAACAAACAAGCATCTAGATTTTTTTTCATGATACGTTCTGTGGAGTTTTCCATTTCAGTAAGCTCATTTTTCATTATCTGAACCAGGGGTGTCAAACTCCCATCGTCACGTGACATATTGCAACTTTCCCCCTTCACTAAAACAGGTGGGCGTGGCCAGCGTGTGATGCATCTGGCCCCTGGGCCATGAGTTTGACACCCATGACCTGGACAATTTTCTTTGCGTATTGTCTTTACTTGGGATTGCGATAAATTATGAATATATTTTATGTAATTTTGTACCCACTCCTCTATGTAATTATTTTCTGCCACAAATAAGGATAGCAAATTTAATATTTTCTTACTGCATATCATTTTCAAAGTAATTTCATTTTTGTTAACTGACTGGTTATACAGTAAACTTGATCATAGGCAATGCTATGCTAGAATTTTAAGCTAACAAAGTAAAAAAAACATATCTTACTAATAAGTGTGCTAACAGGTATATAGAAGAGGAAAAAAAAGACTGGGATTTGGCCATGCCATGCTGTGCTCTGCTGTGATGCTGGGCACTAGTGATGGATTGAAGAACATCAACCTTAAAAAAAATCTAGCACTTATTTTCTTAAAGTATATAGTGACTCAGACTAGTCATGCTAACTTGTGTCCACCTACATGAGAGTGGATAGATTAAAAAAAGCCGGTGCTGGTCTTTGTTAATAAAGTCTTGTGATGGGTCACTGATTGTAAACTAATAGGCACTTTTTGTTAATTAACAGAAAGAAGATTTGAATACCTGGAGGAGAGACTATTTCTGAGGCCGAGTATGTTTGTCTGTCTTGCTTGGGCCATGATTGGGTACACTCAAGCCTTTGTGTTTAATAGGATCAGGACTATGGCAATTGTTAAAGACTGAAATTTAGAAAAAATTTCAACTTCAACAAGAATTGCTTTGCTTTTTATGAGCAAGGATGACACCATGTGGTAGCAATAGGTAGATGGCAAGAATCTAAAAGAAAGAAAACCTCAGTGCTACTTTTCTCAACAAATGAATTAAAGTAATTAAAGAATCACATCAGATTAATTTGAGCTTGACCCCCACTGTTAATGGCATTTTTTCCAATTTTACAGAGAAAGAACAAGTGATTAGGAATAGTTATAGTATCCATATATTTAATTATTGTATCATATAGTATCATTTTCAAGCCATGGTATAAGACAATGTTATATATATCATACATGAGTCTTTCTTTTGGTTTATTTTATTTATTAAAGATAATTGAATTATATGACATTCTAGATAAAAATTGCCTTTAGAATTTTCTTGAAGGATTTTTGATTGTAACCCAGGGGGAAAAATATTTTGAAATAGTTGTATCCACCCATTTTCAGTTTCTTCTCCATTCATATTTTCTTGTTATAATAATAGCCATGATTTCATATTGCTAAGTTTTCAGGAAGCTTATTAACCAATATCTGAGTAACCTTGGTTCAGTTATTCTATGCCACCTAGGATTTTGTCAGCTGTTAAACTAATCAAGTGTTCATTGTAAAGTTTGAAAAAAAAATAGTATACGAGTTACTTGTCATGTTGTCAGAGAAAGTATGAATACAGATGTTGCCAAAACAAGACACAAATAGAAACTGGGCCTCATGCTCAAAAGGTGGGAGTTGAGAAGTCCATTACAGTATGTGGGACAAGCAAGAAAAGAAAGCCCCAAAGGATTTAAAATACTGATTTTATAAATAGGGTTTATTCTTCAGACACAGTAATCACTGGAATTATTTTGTCATGTCTTCCAATATTTTCTTCAATAAGAACTACTTATCAGAAAATCTTGGATTCTTTGGAGCTTGCCTAATTGCTTCCAATCCTATCTGTAGGTTGAAGCTTGACACAGCATTACAAGAGGCTAGCCATTTATTGAGTGAAATTCTAAAAAAAATAAGAAAAGACCTTGGTAGCAACTACATCAACAGTTATTTAATGTTTTTTTTTATTAGTGAAACCTATTATTGTTTGTTAACGTCTTTACCTTAAATTGCAGTTAATATTACATAGGCTGGTTGAAATGTCAAAAACAGAAAACCCCCTAAGTCAAGCTTCATTCTTTTCTAACTGTGGTCTTATGCTAGATCCCTTTGGAGAAATCCTGATGTATGTTAGTGTGATATGGCATTGATTCAACCAGAGCCCTGTCGCTGCTGCTTTTAATGTGAAGCACAACTTTCAAGACTAACCTTCTGCTTAGGCAGAATTCCAAATTAAAGCATTAAGGCAAATGGTTGTCTAACACAGGAGAATCCACCGTCTCTCATAATTCCACTAACAAACTCCTTACTATTAATATTCAATATTGAATAATGATCTAATATGCAATTAGATTGTTGCCAAATCTAGATACATTTTACAAACTATGTGATAGGACCTATCAAAATTTTGACAATTCCCTCCCACCTCATCACTGTAGACAGTCTACACTGATATTTATCACTAAAGAGTCTTATTAACAGTGCATGGTTACTTTTTCAGTTTAACATAGATATTTTATATACCATCTTCAGTGTTTTCTCCACTGCTGTAGGTAAGGAAATATACCAGCTGGATAGCCGCCTAGCAACCAATTTTGGGTGAGTGATCTCTTCTGGATAGAGGAATTGTGGAAATCCTTCCAGAGCTGTTGTGGATTGTATTAAATATCTGTTGGATAGTCTCCTGGATCTGGAATTGGACTTGGCTGTGCTATTCTATGCTGAAGCAATTGCTGTGGCTATCTATCAATCAGCGGGCTTGATGTTTTATCTTTAGTATATAAATACTGTAACTCTGCAAGCTTTGAAGATATAAAGATGCTTCAAGGAAAATGAGGATGTCTTTAAAGTATATGTTTTCTCAGGAAGAAAAGTGGTATAGGCTGTATGATACTTTCAGAATTTTGGTATTTCTTAAAAAAATACTATACTATTCATTTGGTTAGAGTATTCTGGAAGCTTCCCCATTAATTGCTGAAAGAAATCTTTATGATTCACATGAAGTGTATAATCCAAAATCCAGTTTTGACCACCAGTCATTTATAAGTAGGCATAAACATGAATTCTAAACTAACACAATTATTTGGAAGAATATACATTGAACTCAGATGATTTATTTTGAATAAAATTGAAGACTTCCACGACTCTGTAATCTGATTACATGTAAACCATCATGTAGTTTTGTTTAGCAACAATATAGAAAAGATTTGCCATTCCCTTTTGAGATATTTTTGTCCTTTCTAGTCTAGCCTACAGCCTTGGGATTTCCTAGTGATCTCTCATCGTAGTAACCAGATGCAAACCTGCTTAATTTTCTTCAAAACCAGCAGCTAGAATATCTTTGAAAAATGAATAAAACTATGTACTGTATAAAGAGCTTTGTACATTGCAAAAAGTGTAAATGTTTGTCACATATGAGCCAATGTAGCACATTCCTGAAGTTATATACATTGATTGCACGCCTATTTCTTTCTAAACTAGTTTCTACATCAGGCACAGCAGCTCATTTTTTTTTTTGACATTTGATGCAATAGCAGCATAACTAGAGCAAACTATAACAATAACGTGCAGAAATACTGGAAGCAGTGCAATGGTATAGGATTCTTTGGTAGATTGCAACAGGCATTGGCAATGTGACAGACAGGCTTCCCAGACTCCCAACACTCCACACATACACACTATACATACATACCAACCCCTTACACTTGCACTTTGGTTCTGCTTCTCTGCTCTTTCTTTTACATGGAAGGAACATGGAGTAATTGCACCAGTCCTGCCAAGGATGGAGCAGGAATGGTTTTCTCCCCTTTTATTGGATTAAAAAAGGGATGAAAATCCATATTCTTTTTCCTTAGAGCATGACTTTTATTGCTGCCTATGGAGGTAATTTTTTCTCTCTTGCAACAAGTGGCCTTGAATGATCATGACACTATCAATCACAGGTAATGGTGGCTTTGTATCTATCTGGGAATGTTTCCATGCAACTCTATCATCCCATATATGCATGTGCCATGAGCTTATGTATGTCTCCCAAAGCATGATGTAGACTTACATCATTTGGCTTAAAAAAGTGCCTATCCCTGGAAAAGTGATACAACCAAAAAGTCTTAGCCTCAAATTCCTAATGGGAATTGTGTGTATTGTAGAGACCTGGATTCTACAGTCTTTACTGAAGATAAAAATGGGTTGGGTGGAGAAAACCACATCCTGCTCAGTAGGAGGATCTGGATGTGTTGGTGTTGAAGGAATAGCAGTCAAATGAGAGGAAGGACTAGTAATCTATTCTTATAACATAGTTGGGCAGTTAACTAACAAGTGTAGGACTGTTAATCCTTGCAGCGTGGAAAAAGGGAGTGTTTTGGAATTATATGGTTCTTGTCCTTAAAAAAATAAGGTAAATTAAAAAGATTTTTTTTAATGTCCAGGATGGTTCAGGCAGTTGTTTTCATTTTTCATTTCACACATTTTTCACACACATCTTATTCCTCAATAATATAGTCCAGAATTTAGCCTACAAAATAATCATTCTGCTGCTTTCAAATTAAGGAACTTAATGCTTAAGAAACTATAAGCAACAAGCACTAGGAAGGTTAAGCCAATCCACTGCACTCCAAATGCTGAACTACAATTCTCAGTATTTTTAGTATTAGCATATTGGCCAATGTGGAATTGTCCTTCAGCAACATCTGGAACCCCACAAGCTATCTCTAAACTAGGAGTTTTTAGCTTTAAAAAGTGAAGCTACAGAAGAGGGAAGATCCCTATCCCCATGATAAGAGTGATTCAATCATCCTTAGTTTCAAAGTGAATACAGGAAAAAAGATGAGCACTGTAGAAAAAAGAAAAATGCATAGTTGCTTCTCTAAGAAACCAAAGCAGCATCAATACTCCTCTCTTAACATGAAATTTACAGAATCATTTTTCAAAGTTGACAAGCACTGCAGACTGACATTTCAATTATTTCTGCCCATCCTCAGTAAACAATTCAAACCAACTTTCAATTCTGGAGTTTCCAGAATTGGAAAGGATTGAAGAAATAGGAAAGCCCCTAAAATTTATACAGATAAGAGAACTCCTTGACAAAAGCATCCAATTAAAAAGATATTCTGTCTCTTAGGAATAAAATAGATTGCTGTCTAGACTATCAGGTAAAGCCAACCAGAAAAAAAGAAAACATGACATTTAAAAAAAAATGAGGATAAACATGATTCCAAATTGCACATTTTCCCATTAAACTGAATTGATGTATTCAAATTCACTTGTGGCCTACCCTAAAATATCTGGAAGGCAAAAGGTTGTTTGCTTTTGGTTTAAGTTCTATTCCAGATATTTTATGAATTATCTTATGGGCACATTTATGGGAACTTCACATATTTTCAGCTGCAGCACATCTTTAGAGCAGATTACAACAGTGTAAAATTATACAGGAAATACAAATATGTAAAATGATTCTGAAGTATGAAACTCATGTGCAGTCCTCATTTCATCTCAAGATACTGTTGCAGAAGTAACAAAATGCACTAATTATGCTGGATACATGAAATGCAAATGACAAGATATCAAAGATAACCTTATATTCTTATAACAGAAGCAAAAAACCTCCTGCAACTCAGTATGTCCATGAATTTCTATATACCTAAATATGGTGGATTCTGTTGTAGATAGTATCCAGTAATTATTTCTTGGCCTTAAGACTATCCTTGCATATTTTAAAATCTATGTAATTTAAATTGTTCACAAGAAAAAAAGGAAAAAAAAAACACCCATAGAAATATAAAAGCAGGCATCCTATGTTGATGGAATTGAGAAGCTTTTTAATAGAAGCTAGTGACTAGAGTAATACTACAGCGTGCTTTTAAAACTTGAGGGTTTAAAAATAATAGCTTGAATACTCTGGCAAAAAAAAAAACCAACAAAAAGATAACGAGACAAAAATAAAAATGCAATAATGAAACATTAGGTACTGTTTATGCTATGTACTGTAGTTTAAGACCCTATAATGAAGATAAAAACAGACATTTAAAAACTGGCTGATCAATTTTTTTATGCACTACTGTTCGTTTTGCTTTGGTGTTCCATTTGCTTTTGTTCTAGGTCTTGTCAAACAAGCATTATGTGGTCATGTTCGTTTCAAATGCTTAGCATTATAATGAGATCGCATATCTTTTCTCAGATTAAATTTGGCTCCACAAACCCCACATGTGTACAGATGAACATCCATGTGCTGTTCAAGTTGTTCATTATTTGGAAAAATCTGGAAACAAACTTGACAAATTGTCTCCCCAGGTGATAGATGGGATATCATATGCCGAACATGATCATGTTTTCGGAAGTTCCCTTGGTCACAAATGGAGCAGATATACCTGGCCATGCCTTTGTGCATGTCATTATGAAGGCGCAGCTGACGCTCTCGTAAAAACTGCTTCCCACATGTCTGACAAACAAATTGTTTTTCCTTGGTGTGTACAGTATAATGTTCTCGCAAATGACAACGCTGATAAAACCCTTTCCCACAAAGAGTACAGAAATGCTTGCGTCGGTGATCCCTTTCGTTCTCTTCCATAATTGCATTCTTAAACAGATCTTGTTCCAAACAACTGGACATATGTTCAACTACCAAATTCTCTGTTTCAAAACGTAATCCACAGTTAGGACATCGGAAAGGGCATGCTGAATCCCTGTACAGTTGTTTTTTGGGGAGTGTGTTCATCTGAAAATGGCTGTCTCCAAACTCATCTAACATGTCTACGTACATCATTTCTTGGTTTTCAGATTGTTCTTCAGGACTCTCTTCCAAGTCAATTTTCTCCTCCATATTCCTCAAACCATTGGTGGTTAAGTCTTGTGGCTCTCCACAAGTCTGTGCATGATCCTGTAACTGCCGTCCTTTTACTAATATTTGGCCACATTTTCCACAGGCACATATATTTTCTATGTGTTTGGATAAGTAATGAGAAGACAAATCTTCTTCTGTGATTGTCAGACCACACAGTTCACAAGATGCATTTTCCGTCACCTCCTTGGCTTTATTTGCACTGACTTTATTTGCAAGGACTCTGGTACTTTTAATATATTTCCTAGCTTGCTCACCAATAAGCATGTGGGGTTTTAAAAGAGCCTTTCTAACACTTCTATTTTCACTGACATCTTCCTCAATGTAGTATCTATAAACAGGTTCATCATCATCTAGCTCTTCATTATCAGTGGAATCATTGCCATTTGTTACTTTAACAATATTAAACTCCTTCAGGTCATTTGTAGGGTTATCATCTGGTTCCATTTTGACAATAATCCTTTTCCTTTCTGTGGCTCTACTTCGCTCTTCATTTAACGGCTCTGATGAGGCACCCCTGCTTTTTCCACTTGTTATATTTGATGTTGTGGATGAAGAACTCTCAGCAGATTGGTTTGCACTTGCTTGATATTTCTCCAATTGGGAAACTGACATTTTAGAAGTAGAGTCCCTTTCACTGCTGTCCTTCTCAGACCCCAAATACCTGGGGTTCTGATAAGAATGCCTATTAGTGCATGACATGATATGCTCATCTAACAGCCTCTCACAGCTGAAACTGAAGCCACAGCCATCACAGGTAAAACTTCTTCCAAAGCGCCGTGAATTGGGCACTCTGTCTTTGGCACCTGAGAGTTTTGACACAGTGGTCCTTTTGCAATTCTCCAAAGGTTGCTCAGAGAAATTGTTTAATTGCAAAGCTTCATCATCAACCTCTCTGCTTTGGGAAGTACTGACAGTAGAACTTGGTGGCTCAGCACCCCACTTGTTTGCTTCACTCTTGTTTTTAGCCTGTGTATCTTCATACATCCGAACACCAAAAATCATTTTGCTGTTTTGAGTGCTGGAAGCAGAAGAAGAGCACTGTAAACTAGAGGAATTTGTATCTTGTATATCTTCCAGACATTCTGGCACATTGTAGAGCTGTAGGGAGTTCATGGCTACTTTAAATTGCTCAAAGTTAGCTGGGGCTGTCATGATTTTCCCTAAATACATAAATTGTAAAATGAGATCAAAGCACTCAGCTGTAATCTTCATGTTGCTGAGGTTCAACTGTGCTGTGCTTTGCTGCTGGCTCATGAAAAACATCCTAAAATAAGAACTGCAAGCAGCCAAGACAGCCTTATGTGCCTGGAAGTAGATATCATCAATTGCAATACAGCAATCACAGAGAAATCCCCATTCTCTTTGGTTGTTGAGTTGTTGAAGGACATAATTGCTATGGCTAGTCCTTGCCATCTTGTGCTTGAATCACAACCTGTGCCAATAGAAATGGAGAAAAGGACAAGTATTAGTTATGTTTAGAGAAAAGACATAATCAGATGCCACCATACATCATATGACCCTAACTATTTACCACATTCCCAGAGATGACAACAAAACTAGAGAAAACTAGAAATATGCACTCGAGGTCCCAAATATTTTAAATTGTATTCCTTCCTCTGTTTTTTTTTTCCTTTAGCAACTACACCTTCATAGGCATGGGGGAGGGATGCCAAGGAAGATTAGGCAATAAGCAAAGAGATAAGAGTGTCTTATCTAGAAGAAGGAACTGATACTACAACTTTACCTACAATTTTCTGATTTTTTCTGCCTCTACAGAAAGCCTTCAGATCTATAGTAACAAAGTTTAGATTCAAATTTAAGTTAAATATATAGACAGCTCTCATTTCCAAAGAAATATATGCATAATAAATTATGCTGTATTAATTACAAGAGTAAGAAGGCCAAGGACTCCTGATCATGAAAAGGGCACATATGTATACAAGACATTTTGGCCATAGTTGCCATCTGCTCTTGAAGCAGGAGCTGAGAGTCCAAGATCTCAGATTGAGCACTAGTCTTGAATGGAAAAGTATAACTTCATCCAAACTAAAAATGGAAAATTCCCAGATCTGTGGGGCCTTAAAATCCATACTCTGACTCAGTAAGATTAAGTTGGAGTCAGTTTCATCATATAAAACTTGCACAACATATCTCAAGGTCAATGGGTAGTGTATGAATGATACTGAATCTCAAACCAACAGATGAACTCATCTAGCAGTTTCATGCAAATTTTACATAGTTGGAGAATGTCAAACCCTGTGACACCAGACACTGGAAAGACTAAGGAGCAATCACTCCCGATTCCCCTACCCCAACAGCATCAACTACAACTGGCCATTAAGGAACGAGAACCACTGTAAAACAATGAATCCTAACTCCCCGCCCTCCTAAAATAATCCCCAAATCTTTCAACTAGCCTAAAAGGATACCTTTTAGTGGTCAAAAGCCACTGAGGAGGAGAAGGAACAGAAAGACAGAATTACCACCCCCATTCCAGCTCTGCCAAAGGTCATAAAAAATGTGACAGATGCTACATCTGTTTTAAATCCTTAAAGGTTCTTCCAAAGTGGTTTATAAGCAACATAAATTGCTATATATAAATGTATTATTTAAAAATAAGCAAAAAAAACTTCTAGAATCTTTTCCTTAGACTAGAGCAATGTTAGTGATGTTCAACTGAGCAGTCTACTGAAATGGTTATTTAATTTCTCAATTTTGAGATTTGCTCCACAATTTACACTGATGGCCTGCTGGTTCTAACTAAACCAGCTTTCCCTAACCTAAGTTTATATTTAAGATTGGAATTCAAATCATGCTGACTGAGGTTGATAACAATTGTAGCCAAAACATTTCTATGGGTTCAAAATGGAGAAGCTGCAATAGGCAACAATGAATTCTTTATCTGGGTCAGTGCATATCAGGTCTTGCACTCTCTAAGCACAGGAGAAACATTTTAGTTTGTTTTTCCAATCTCTTCAGCTTTTTCCCCACCCTCTTTCCCCTCTCTCTTCCCATAATTGACTTCTCCATCCCTTGTCTCTTCAGAGTTATTTATAATTAGTGTTATATAACCCTGATAACGTAAAGTATTTGTTGTCCTTAGAACAGACTTTGAATGCTTTGGTTGGACAATTCATATCATACTAAATGTGTGTTTCTGTGTGTGTATGCATCCCCTCTCCAAAACTTAAATGTTTGTGTGTGTATGTACATTGTCACACACACACAGAAAGAGTGGGTGTGGTATAGTATACTGTAATGTATTAGCCCATTTTTGCAATTGTGGTGCGTTGTTTTTAATGTCAGCATTGGGGGTTGCAGAGAATATGGCTGCGTTATAATGAATTATAATGATGTCACAAGAAGCGAAGAAGCAGACATTTTAGGATTGGGGTTTTTATTTTGCTTTTTATTTATTCTTACTTTTAGAGTATTGGGATTTCAAAGGTTTAGGGCAGGGGTCCTCAAACTTTATAAACAGGGGGCCAATTTATGGTCCGTCAGACTGTTGGTGGGCCAGACTGGCTGGTGTGGGTGTGGTTAGGTCATGTGACTAGGTGGGCGTGGCCAATTTAGCAGTACATTAAACAATGCACACAAATTAAACTTTAATTTGTTTTGCTCCTGGGGGTGTTTTGTTTGCTTTTGTTTGCATGTTGCTCTTTTGGTTGACTTTTCTTTTTACTAGATCGTTTTTCAGATGTTTAGGAGTCTAGTGGTCCACTTCAGGAAACTCAGTTCTGCAGCAATTCTTCTCAGCCTCAAGGAATTTACAATCAACAAGTCTCTCTCTCTACCTTTTTCCCTCTCTATCTCTCTCTTTTTCTCTCTCTCTGTCCTGTCTCTTTCCCTCCCTCCCTCCCTCCCTCTTTCTCTCTCTTTCTGTCTATCTATCTATCTTTCTGTCTGTCTGTCTCTGTCTCTTTTTTTCTTCCTCTTTGTCTACCTTCTGGAGGCAGGAGAGGTTAAAAACCGGGCGTGCAGATGCCCTGTGAGGCCTCTGTGGGCCCCGTTTTTGGCCGCAGAGTGCTACTGGAGGCGGGGGAGGCCAAAAACGGGTATCATTACATTTAAAGTTATAGGGCAGCCTTCTCCAGCCTGTTTGTTCCCCAAGTGTGTGAACTTCAACTACCAAAATTCTCAGCAATGGCTATATTGATAAATGAATTCTTGGAAGAGTTTCATATATTTAGAGGATATCTCCTTGGGAAAAGGCTGACTTACGGGTATCATGTGAGTCCAGAATCAGGGCAGAATGTGGTTGAAGTAAAGCACCACTAACTTTATGATCTTCAAGATGAATATGAAAAACCTATGATCAGATTTGCCAACAATTTTAAAGAAATCACTGGCAATGAGATAGCAGACAACTGAGATAAATCAATCAATCTAAGTTGTTATCTTTTTTCTCCAACGGGTCTAATAGCAGAGCAGGAAAGAGAGAAATATGCATTTTGATGTTGAAAATATTACAGTGGGAGTAAAATTTCAAACATCCTACCTTCAATGCCACTGCCTAACTCCAATTCCACTTGCGTTCTGTGTCTGTCTTTGTTTTGCAATAAACCATGGTGACTACAATTACAGATACATCATCATGTCCTTATTGGCCCTTAGCTATTTACTACAGAAGTTCAGCTTAACTGTTGTCTATTCCACAGCACATTACATTTACACAAGACAACAATTTTAATAGAAGAAAATTCATATCTCCCTAAAATTGCACAGGAGACAAGAGATACTTTGTCCTGCAAAAAGAGACCAGGTAGGATTCAATGAATCACTTGATAAAATATTCTGAGCAAGCAACCTACCCTGTTCCTGCAGCTCTGTCTCATCTGATCTGCTCACTAAACTTTGCTATCATCTTTGTAGGTCTCTTCTGCACTTCTTCCAGTCTGTCAACATCCTTTTAAGCATGGGTGGGGAAGAGCTGTGATACTTTATCTGAGGCTTCTGTTAATGCATACATACAAAATTTTAAATTAATGGCAAGAAAGAAAACTGTCTGAAATAGTGGATTTTCACAAAGATCCCCATCTTTCCTATTTCCCCTTCTGCGTCAATTGCTTAAGCAGCAGCAGGAGCAGCAGCAGTAGTTTCAGTTCATATACTTCTGGTGACATCATAGACCCGAGATGGCAAACCTATGGCACGCGTGCCACAGGTGGCACGCGGAGCCATATCTATGGGCACGTGAATGTTGCCCTAGCTCAGCTCCAGCGTGCATGCGTACACCAGCCAGTTGATTTTCAGGCCTTTTGGGCCCACCAGAAATCAGGAAATGGGCCATTTCTGGCCTCCGGGAGGGTGGGGAAGGCCATTTTTGCCCTCCCCAGGTTCCTAGAAAGCCTCTGGAGCCTGGGGAGGGCAAAAACAGGCCTACCGGGCCATCACATGCCAAAAGCGGGGGGAGTGCGGGGGGGTGTCGCACGTGGATGCACAGGGGTGGGGCACATTGAATTATGGGTGTGGGCATGTGCACACTAAAACCCCCGCGCTCCCCCCCCTTTTGGCACGCGATGGCAAGAAGGTTAGCCATCACTGTCATAGACTATAGTTTGCCAAGAATTCAGTGGAGGAGAAATGGACAAAGTCATACACATACATGCTATATGTGATAAGGAAGTCACAAAGAAAAATAAATTCTCCCTCCGAGAAATAATGCAGAGAGATATGACTGGTCTTTGTGCTACTTCTTTATCAGCAATGTGGTTTTGTGATGGCTTTACTCATCTCCTTCATCCTCCCCTCCAACAATTCATGTGAGGAATTATTATTTTTTTAAAAAGGAGATCTGGTTAGAATATTTGCAGTTACTTAATTGTGACAACTCTGGATGGCTTATTGTGCTACCTTGGCACTGAAAGTATGTCCCAGGCTCGAGAAACCCACAAAACTATATATACCAACTAGAAGTCAAATGATCTAACTTTTTATGAGAAATTAAGTCTAAAGAAATATTGAAAAAAGACAGTGAATTTTAATGACCAAAGTATAGAGGATATAAGTTTTTAATGCTTCAGTTCTGATAGTTAAATTTCTGATAGTTCAGCATCTGGTCTTAGTTTAATGCTAAGGCACACTAAACCATTAACCATTAATGGGCAGCAACCAAGACTTAATACTATTGGTTACTTTCCAAATATCAACATATGATTTACTTTTCCATTATTCCATCTACTAAGCAAGCTTTCTTATGACAAATAAATATTCAAATCAGAATTAACTTTTGGAATATTAATTCACCATTCATAAACTATTTAAGTTAAGCAGCTGATGAAATATGAGTGGAAGGTCACAGATACTGTGATGGTTATTTTAGAACAATTGGATATTGTATGGAAGATATGTTTTTCAGCGACCAGATACATAATCTCTGACCACTGTGTGTCAATGGCTGAAGAAGAGTAACAACGGAAACTCAAAAGCTTGCCATCTTCTGAAATGTGACATTGCATGATTGTGAATTCTGGATATTTCAAGGTCCCTATGCTTTGCAGACAATTCTGTAGTTCTCTAGATGAGAACATCTTGCAGATGTTAAATTGCAACTCCCAGGATCTTTCATCACTGGCTATACTACCTTAGTGGAATTTTAAAGCTCTTAGAGCAGTGATGGCGAACCTTTTCAGCACCGTGCCAAAACTGGAACGCGTGTCCATGCAGTGCCTAAAAACGGCCCAGAAAACAGTCTGAAAATAGCCCGAAAAATGGCCTGGAAACAGCCTGGGTTTTGGCCATTTTTCAGGCTGTTTTCCAGTGCCTTTGAAGACCAGTTGGCTGGCACGCATATGCGTGCTGGGAACCAGAAGAGCAGCTGTGGATGGCAAATGTGCCCACAGAGAGGGCTCTGATTGCCACCTCTGGCACAGTGCCATAGGTTTGCCATCACAGCATTACAGGGTCACACATTCATCTCTGTTCTAATTAGATTTGATGGCTAATGGATGTTAAAAAGTCACCTGGACCACAAGATGGGAGGCAAATAAATCTGATAGATAGCTAGATAGATATTACAAGAATGAGTGCAAGAATGCAAGGAAGACATTTTCTGTTAAAAATACACGTAACAGATTAACACTTATATCTAAGAAAACAGCACTGACAAATCCAGTATTTAAGATTATACAATATCTATAAACAATGTGCTAGAAAACTAAATACTGTACAGATATCTATTTTAGAAATCAGAAGTAAAAATTAATCAAAATAAATACATTAATACTAATGTAATTCAAACAGTTTGTCACAGCTTTCTAAGAAATTCTTTTCAATCCAAAGAAGGTATTTAAACAAGGTCAAAATCATTGGATACATAGATTGTGGGCTCTGAGCTAACTTGAAAGAACACCAGTGAAAATCAGTGAGATTGCTTCACAGTAGCTGCCAATCATTATAGTAATGGCGGATCATAATATTTATCATGGATTATAATTTAGTACGGTATGTGAGTCCAAGTAATTGTGATTTATTCACTAACCTATAGTAAGTTAACAGTGTGTTAGTGTGTAGGTAAACCAAGGGTATCTGTCCTTGCTGATTGGTAACTTTTCACTAGACCTGCATCAACTTATTCAGTTAGAATTGTCAGAAATTGAATCTAGAGTCTTGAACCCATGTAACTTGCTATTGACTTAATGTTCCTTCCTAGTCATGTTTTATGGTTATCATATAACTAAGTATTTTCTATCTGAAATGAATGTTTACATTTTCATTAAAATTCAAATACTGTGCATACTAAGGGATATACATTTTAAAAGATACATTTGTCAGCTTTTTAAGATCAGGAAACAATACTACAGAACTGAAGCACTACTTTATTCTTGCAGGGTATAATTTCACATTTTTGGAAGCCAGAGTTTTTCTATCTCCCCATTCTAATACCAAGGCCATCAAAGCAGGGAAATCGAGGATTTTTTCCCCACTGCCTCCTCTCTTTCAGAACTGAGCTGTTGCACACAGCCTTCAAGGCTATCATCACATTCCTCTACATTTGAACTCTGTACAAGAGTGATGTGTACACATAAGGCAGGCAATCTTGTCAAATGTTAGCCTTCCGTCTTTCTTTATCTCCTCGGTTTTTGACGACTGAAATGTTTCTAAGTTTCATTTCCAGAGAAAAACTTCATCCGGTATTGAAGATCCAACAACTGGAGATGGGGGATGTTCTCCATGAAATGATGCCATGATTTCATTTAAATTCAAAGACAATTTTAAAAAACTAAAGCAGTTTCAATATATATCTGAGTAGAGAAAAAGTACTCATTAGGAAGAACACAAAAGTTTAACCTGCTACTATCTATGGCAGGGGTCTCCAAACTATATACTTTATGGCAGGGGTCTCCAAACTTTAAGCCTGGCGGACTTCAACTCCCAGAATTCCCCAGCCAGCAAAGCTATTAATTAATTAAAGCTATTAATTCTGGGAGTTGAAGTCCGCCAGGCTTAAAGTTGCCAAGGTTGGAGACCCCTGATTTATGCTACCCATAAAGTTATACAGTAGTTTTATACACCTGTTTGAGACTGACGTGCCAAGCAGCGTCCTTCCGATTTTTGCTCATTTATCTATTTCTCTTTAAACCCCAACAAAGTGCAAATTAACTGCTGGGGAACCTGACCAGCGTAGCGTTTTACAAATGGCAGCTTTTCGGCCAAAAACAGCCGGCGACAGCAACGCTCCCACAGCCTTTCCGACCCCAAGTACAACTTTTTGTCCTGAGCGCTGGAAAGAAAAAAATCCGCCCGGCTCTTTTTGCGCTTCTCGGTTAAAAAAGCCGATGGCGGTACGAGGCGCCAGCCACATGGTGCAATCATCAGGGGAGGAGAAGCAAGAGCAGCCTTGAATCGCAGCTAGGAGTGGCTTCCGCTGGAAAGCCCCACCACTAGGCCGGGCGAGCGGGCGGGCTGGCGCCGCCTTTCCCTCTGGTGCTCGGCGCGCAACAGAGGGCCGTGAACAAGGAAAAATTCTCCGGCGCTTCGCTTTCTCAAAAGGCGGGCGACAGCAGAGGCATATTCCCTCAGCCATTCCCCCCCGCTCTCCTCTTCCAGCAATCGGCCACGCTGCTCCGCTCCCGCCCGGGGACCCTTCCCGCCACTCCTCCGCTCGGCCTCCCGAGGCCTGGAGCCGTCGCAGCGCCCAACTCTCGACTCCCGTTGCTGCGCAACAGAGATCACCTCCAGGGGCCTACCCCGTTCTTTGCGCTGGCGAGCCTCGCGTCCCCTTTCTTACCTGCCGCCAAAGCGCTGGGGAGGCGTTGGAGCAGAGGAGAAGGGCCCCGGCTGTTCTGCCGGCGCGGCCGCCGCCTCCTCCTCTGCTGCAGCAACAAAGGACTTCCGCCCCCGGCCGCGCCTGCTGCCGCTGCTCTCTTACTGCAGAAGAAACTCAGGGCTTTGCCGCGACCGCACTGAGCCGGACCCCTCCCCCCGGCTGGCGGCCAGCAAGCGGCGCCTGGCCCTGCTTGCTGCGGCTGGTGCGGTCGTGGCCAATGTACAGGCACGACGCGGCCCGTCGCTCTTTTTCTCTGCCTTTTCCTAGGGACCGCGGGGCAATCGGCCGGCCCTCGGCGTATCGGCAGGAAGCAGCCCGGTGCCATCCCGTTGTCGCCAGGCTCGCGTTCGTGCCGCCAAGACGGGAGGAGAGAGCGTGGTTTCTGGCGCCCGGGATGCTGCTTCTTCGCCTGGACCAGCGGTCAGGATTAGGGAAGGCAGATGCATCGTCGTTTGCTTCTTTCCCAGGAAAGGCTATTATTCATATTTAGTTAGAGCAAAGCGATGTTTCCCACGGTACTTCGCTAATTCCACCATTTTACCAAAAACCTGTTTTTGAGTTGTAAGAAAATATTGGGTCTGCATATTGAACGATTCGTTGAACTATAGTTCTTTTCATAAATCACGTTGGGTTGGGATCAAGCAGAATGGTACAGTATTAATCATGTTTAACGAAGTTTAACAGAGTAAGCAAAACTTTACACTTCAGAATATGTGAACTAGGCATATGGATCCTGAATTTATTTCTTTCAGACTGAAAATGCTCAGGAGCCTCTCCCGTTCTCTCCTTTTCTGTAATAAATGTATATTCTGGCTCTCAAAGATGTTGCTTTTGGGGTGGGTGGGTTTCCTCAATCCCCTGTAAGAATAATAACTGTAATGGGCACCTTTAAAAAGAAAAATAACACAAATAATTATTGCATATAATGTTCTATTTTCCTTATAAATCAAATCAGCATACGTAGTAATTTCATTTGATTTTATCCTCACAACCACTATGCAAACTAAGCTGGCCTGAGAGTAACTGACCTTCCTAAATAATTCTATGTGCAAAACTTATTTTTTACAAAAAATAATTGGCACAACCATAGACATAGAACTCTGAAAGTGGGTCTCACTAATAGTGTATGATACTTTGCTACTAATGTTGCCCATTCACCCAGTGGGTGAATGCATGATAAGGCATCAAACTAGAATCCAAGAGTTTGAGAGTTCTAGTCCTGCTTTGGGCATGAAGTCAGATGGATGATCTTGGGCCAGTAACTTTCTCTCAGTCCTAGGAAGGAAGCAATGGCAAACCACCTCTGAAAAACCTTGCCAAGAAAATTTCAGGAACTTGGTTCAGCTGTCTCAAAAAACCTGATACGATTGAACAGGATATATATGTGTATATGCATGCATTACAAATGTTGAAAGAAAGAGAATCTACATAATCATTTCCAATCCAAAACTTTACAGTTCCCTCTCTCACCTTTCCTCTAGTCCAGGGATTACCAAATGTTGAGACCCCCTTTAAGAGGAGGGTCTCTTTAACACTTGTGGACTTCAATTCCCAGAATTCCTCAGCCAACCAAGTTTGAAATTTGCCAAGTTGGCCCCTGCTCTAGTCACCAAAGCTGCCTTTTTCTGAGACTAGAAAGATCAGATTTTGAAACAGGTAGCAAATCATTTTGGAGAAGGGCTACAGGAAGAGGGACAATGATACAAAACACTCAAAGTCAAGTGAAAAGGATTTTTTTGGGTTTTGGAGGCATTAGGGTGAGGGTCTTTTGTACTTTACTCTATGAAATCTGTTTTATTGTTTTACACTAAGTTTTCTAGTATTTAATACTTATGGTTGAACCAGGTACATTCCCATATTGTCCCGGTTCCCATCCCTTTCTTTGTCCAAAATGTATTAACTTATCACAATTTTCTGGGTTCATATAACATACTTAAATATATGGGATGTTTTTGCACAATATATTAGACTAAAATGCAGTTACCCTAGTCTGTAGTTTACCTTTCCAATTCTTTCAACAGGAGGAAAATAAATGATAAAAAAATACAGTTGGAAAAACTAACCTACCTCCATTCCACTGTTTCCTACAGTGCTGCCTGAATGCAATATACACACTTTGGTTATTATATTATCTGAATATCAAAACAAGTCTTCTTCCTCTGTAACAGACATAAATTAACAATTTCCCCTTTGTAATCCATTTCTGCAGTCATCAGATAAAAATGCAGTCAAGTGATAAAATTTGTCCTCTTAATTTTCTTCAAAAGAAATGCTGTAATCTAAAGTTTGATGTCCCATTAACAGTTTAAATGTGTTGTAGCCCCCCCCCCCCCCTTGAAGTGATATAGGCCAAGCAATAAGATCACAAGAGCTTTGCTGGATCAAGTCTTAGACTCATATAATCCAGCATATTATGTTGCAGTGGTTAAATGAATGCATTTGAGATGCTCACAAGCGTTATCTTGAGTCTCACTGCATTGAGTTTCTATTGCCTAAAATGTTAACATTCTGAGTGAGGAAGAAAAACTTACGTATCTCCATTCGACCTATATTGCATGGTTTTAAATGTATAATTTTGTTGGCATGCATGTAGGACTCATTTCTGCCTTCATGATGTACCTGATCTCTTACTCTTGACCACTAAGTTTGCTCAGGAGCTTTTGATGAAGGAACTCATCAAACTCAGGAGTGATGATGAAGGACCTCACCTTTTTGAAAACACATCTCTTGAGTTATCTACGTGTTTTAAAAAAAAAATCTAGTGAGATATACATTTATGGAAACCACAGCGGCTCCTTTTCAAGAAGGCTATGATTTTGGTATTCATTAATATTTACCATTACAGTACTTCCCTAGAGCAGATACTATACTAACAAGAATATTTATTATTCTGGTTCCTTTTTGAATATTGGAATCAAATTGGTTTCAGTCCTCAGGAACAAATCTCAAAATTAAAAAAATACATGTCTTTCTATCTAGGGCTAGGCAATACTATCTGAACTGAGATTTATTTATTTTTGGTTGATTAACTTGGCTGATAATTTTTAATCTTTTTTTACCTCTGATTTCATCCCCAATCATTTGATCTGATTCTCCACCAAAAAACTCAGGTTTAGCACAGATCTAAATCTGTCCTAAATCTTTAATAATGAAAACAAGCATAGAATTCAAATCAGTCCCTTCTGCTGTTTCCTTATCCTCCTGTAGCACTCTGTTAAAACCCCAGCCTGAGATGTTTTTAATCAGTTACCTATTCTAAATTACTTGAAAGGTTTTTGTTGTTTGTTTTAATGTTGTTTTCCAGGAGCTCTTCAAAGTCAAAGACATTTCCTCCCAAATATCTTAATTGTAGAAGCCAGTCTCCCTTGGATCATGTGCCAAAGTATAATCTGAGTCCAAATCAATTCTTTTGTTTCATCCCATTGTTCAATATTATAACGCTTAAGTTTTTAACTACTTGTGTGTTTTGTTTGTTTGTAGTACCTATTTCTTCACTGCCAAGACGGAGTTGACTCTTGGTTAAACATATAATTGGAAAATAAGATTTTCTTTAAACAAGAGTGTACAACATGATGCATTAGAGCTGAACTCCTTTCGTGCAAAATCTGAAACTCCATCCAAACACAATGATAAAGAAACATTATTTGTGTCATAAGGCTCGGAACATTTGGAAATTATAATTATTAAAATAGGCTGAAAAGACTTCCCTCTGAAACCAAGGAAGAACTTCTCCCAAACTTCTTGGTTTGGCCCAGATGTGTGTCACAGTACATTGCCCACTATATTCAGTCTCCCCTGCCTCCAAGTTAAGTGAGGTTTCTGGCCACTGAATAGTTGTTTTTCCTTGTCCAACAGTTCCAACAGCTTCAGATTGAACTGTGTATTTCTAGTGATTAAGGCACCAGGCTAGAAACTAGGAGACTGGCTGAGTTCTAGTCCCATCTTAGCCATTAAAGCCAGCTGGGTGACTTTGGGCCAGTCACTCTCTCCACCCATCTCACTTTATAGAATTGTTGTGGGGAAAATAGGAGGAGGAAAGTGTGTTGGATATGTTCACCACTTTATTTGTAAAAATAAAGGCATGAAACAAAAATAAAACACAACACAGCCAATGTTACTGTGTTGGCTCTTCCTATGGTTACAGATGTTGTCTATAAATTTAAGGCTGCATGGCATTTCCAAAAGTAGACAGCCAATTGCATTAGGTTAACCTCTGTTTTATGTTACAGTGAGACAAGGAAGCTCTTCAGATGGGAACTGTGTTACTTCACTTCTTTTGAAATGCCATAAGCCAAAAGTTTAGGCGGTGGAGTACGGGAGCTCTTGCTCAGTATGGACATTGGGGCCTTGGCCTTCTATCCTGTGAGCTTTCAAACCGCATTCAACATGTAGCCCTTATTGAAACTACATCTGCATGGAGGGATTCTTTTCTGTTCCTCCTTAGAAGGTAACACTTGAGCCAGGGTCATTTGCCAGCTCCACCACTGAAAATAGAATAGAATAGAATTATTTATTGGCCAAGTGGGATTGGACACACAAGGAATTTGTCTTTGGTGTATATGCTCTCAGTGCACATAAGGAGAATAAAATACATTCATCAAAAATAAAAAAGATACACTTAGTGATAGTCAAGGTTACTAATAAGCTATCAAATCGTATTAGGAAACAAATAAAAATATAAATTGAAAGATACAAGCAGCATGGTTATAGTAATAAGTTGGAAGAGATAGATACTAGTAAGGAAGAGAAGAATAATAGTAATAGTCTTAGTAAATTATTTGACAGTGTTGTGGGAATTAGTTGTTAAGCAGAGCGATGGCATTCGGGAAAAAATTGTCCTTGTGTCTAGTTGTTCTGGTGTGCAGTGCCCTATAGCATTGTTTTGAGGGTAGAAGTTGAAACAATTTATGTCCAGGATGCAAGGGGTCTATTTTCACAGCCCTCTTTTTGACTCATGCAGGATACAGATCCTCAATGGAGGGCAGGTTGGTAGCAATTGTTTTTTCTGCAGTTCTAATTATCCATTGAAGTTTGTGTTTGTCTTGTTTGGTTGCAGAGCCATATCAGACAGTTATGAAGGTGCAGATGACAGACTCAATAATTCCTCTGTAGAACTGGAACAGCAGCTCTTTGGGCAATTTGAGCTTTCTGAGTTGGCGCAGAAAGAAAATTCTTTGTTGAGCTTTTTTGATGACGTTTTTGATGTTAGGTGTCCATTTTAAGTCTTGAGATATGATAGAACCTAGAAACCTGAAGGAGTCTACTGTTGATACTGTGTTGTCTAGTATTGTAAGAGGTGGTAGTATAGGAGGTTTTCTTCTAAAATCCACCACCATTTCTACGGTTTTGAGTGTATTTAGTTCAAGATTGTTCTAGTTGCATCACCAGGCTAGTTGTTCAACCTCCCGTCTGTATGCAGATTCATCGTCTTGAATGAGACCAATCACTGTTGTATCATCTGCAAACTTCAGTATTTTAACAGAGGGATCTTTTGAGAGGCAGTCATTGGTGTATAGAGAGAAGAGTAGTGGAGAGAGCACACAGCCCTGGGGAGCTCCTGTGCTAATTGTGCAGGTATATATAAGTAGAATATAACAGAATAACAGAGTTTGGAAGGGGCCTTGGAGGTCTTCCAGTTCAACCTCTGCTCAAGCAGGAAGCCCTAAACCCATGATGGCGAACCTATGGCACGCGTGCCACTGGTGGCACATGGAGCCATATCTGGGCACGCGAGCATTGCCCTAGCTCAGCTCCAGTACCAGCTGATTTTTGGGCCTTCTGGAAAGTTGGGAAACGGACCATTTCCGGCCTCCATAGGGCCTCTGGAGGGTGGGGAAGGCCGTTTTCGCCCTCCTCAGGCTCCTAGAAAGCCTCTGGAGCCTGGGGAGGGCGAAAATTGGGCCTACCGGGTCCACCATGCCATCGTGTGCTAAAAGCGGAGGGAGTGCGGGGAGGGGTCATGCGTGCATGCGTGGGGGTGGGGCACATTGAATTATGGGTGTGGGCGCACATGCCTGCAACCCCCCCCGTGCTCCCCCCACTTTTGACCCACAACGGCAAAAAGGTTAACCATCACTGTCCTATATCATTTCAGACAAATGGTTGTCCAATCTCTTCTTAAAAACCTCCAGTGTTGGGAGCGTCCAAAACCTCTGGATGCAAGTCATTTCCCTGATTTAATAGTTTTATCAGGAAATTTCTCCTTATTTCAAGGTTGGATCTCTTCTTAATTAGTTTCCATCCTTTGCTGCTTCTCCTGCCTTCAGGTACTTTGGAGAACAGGCAGACCCCCCCTCTTCTTTGTGGCAGCCCCTTAGATATTGGAACAGTGCTGCTATCATGTCACCCCCCCCCCCAGTTCTTCTTTATATTAAATTTGACATACCCAATATCTCCCTTCTTGCTCTCTTTCAAAAACATTAAAAAAAAAGAGTTACTATCCAGAAGGACCCTAATCAGCCTAGAGCGGTGCAATTCAGCCCTTGTCCTTTTTTTCAGCCAGCGGTCACGACTTCCACCTTCTACTTTAGAAGTGAGGCTCTTCTTTTCCTTCTGCTTAGGAAAGTGGGGGGTGGGGGTGGTAGTGGAAGCTGATGGTCGCGCGCACGCGCGGCAGCGAGAGAGAGAGAGAGAGGCTTGCGTGTATATCCCCCCCCCCCAGTTGTGCCGCCGTCGCCTCCCGCTTTCCTGTGTCAAGGGCGGATCGGGGTAAGGAATCAACCGGCCGAGGTACCGGCCGGTTGCACTGCTGGCGCCGGATTTGCCTGGGTGCGTTTGGGGGTCAGTAAGGAGAGGCGGATGCGCCCTCTCTTTGTGCCAACACTCCGCCCCCCCCTCCTCCCGCCTTAGCTTTCCCCAGGGAGGCCGGAGAGGGTCTTTTTGGAGCCTAGAGCCGCTTGCGGCCTCTGACCACCGCTGGGCTAGCAGAGCGCAGAAAGACGAACCGGACGGACCCTTAAGAGAGGCTGCACGCTTGGCCGCCGGCTTGTCTCAGTCCACGCAGACACGGTCGTGCATTTGGCGGCGTTGGCGGCGTTTTTGCAGATCCTGTGGGCGGCGGCAAGGCGGCTTGGAAAACCGAGCGGCGTCTTGCTGGAGGAGGGCGTCGCTTTCTCCGACCTCCCACCTTCGGGGCTTTCCCCCGAGCGAGCGAGGGAGTCGGGGAGTTCAACAAGCCCGCTCCTGCCTTGGTGGCTTTTTAAGAGGCGGCGGCGGCGGCGGCTCCTTGGAGGAGTTCGAGTCGAGCCGTTTTAGGGGCCGTGCAGCTGCCAACCTGCTGGTTACGAGTAGTTCACTTCTCTCCCCCCCCCCCCCCTTCCGGAAGCTTGTTTGGTTTTATCAGCTGAGGCTTCGCCAACTTGGCGCCCTCCAGATGTTGGGTCTGCGACTCCCATCTTTCCTTGCCAGGGAAGGTGGAGAGCGCCATGTTCCACTAGGACTGGAGAGGATAAAACACTGGGACCCCGGGAAAGGGGAAACTGCTCTTCTGACCGGCACTTTTATGACATTAATTGGAAAATTGCGCTTAGATTCTGACTTTTAAGTTTAGGTTAATATCTGTGTGTTGTATTAAAACAAAACTTACTGTATTGAAAGTCTAAGATCAAAATAATTGTATTGGGGAGAGAAAAAGAGACCGACCCTGTTAGCGCAAACGAACTTGATTTGGAAAGATCTGTAAAGATTCCTTCAGTAGGAATCTAGTGGTTTTTACCCTGATTATTATGCAATAGCGAGAGTACCTTTTTGTACTTTTTTGTTTTGTTTAAGCGCTATACGTGGGAAGGATTTTTTAAAAATCTTTTAAGAAGCTATCTCCCAGAATTGGATAAAGAATTGCTTTCTTGTGGTACTGGACTTGGGTTGCTTCTGTTTTAGTTCATAATTCATATTTTGTTTTGTGAAGTATTGTCACTAATTTTTATATTTTAAATTTTTTTTATTAAACTTTAAAAATGCAGACTAAAACCCTAATACAAGCTGAAAAGTACAAAAAGCAAAAAGTAGAGGGAGAAGAAAAAAAAATAAAAGGATTTTTTTCTTTATATATTATATCTTTTATTTTTTTACTGTAACTCAGAAGCAAGTTACATTTATGCTGCCAAAGATACTGACTGGATTCAGAGAATGCAAAAATATTGTGTAAACTCATTTGCATAGCTTCAGAAAACTGTTGTGACTTAACCATGGTTTGGCTGGTCATAAGTAAATGTGTCATGCCAACATAGCTTCTGAAGGGTGAAATTTAAATGCTGACCTCATTTTTCAGGTTCAATCTCCCAAATGTTAAGGTGGTAACAAGGGGAGTAGATTTTATTTCCCTCCAGGATGTTTCTTACACTCCAGGCTGAATCATTTAAGCGTGCCATCCTGTTTATTCTTATTCAAAAGTATCATCATATTTGTTGGAGTTTACTCCATGAAATGTACTAAGAATTTAATACATTTAATAATATACCTTTACCAAGATGCAGTACAAAGAAAAAAACCCTATAATAATTACAAGGCAATCCAACTAAATTATGTTTGAACCCAGTAAACAAATATTAAACAACCGACACAACAATATATTTAAAACAATGCCCTGCAATAGCATTGAATTGGTAGACATAATCATAATTCTGGGCTCTGGTTTTAAGTTTCCTGCCTATTCTTTCAATATATTAAACTAGGCTAGTGATATGGTGAAAGTCTTCACCTGGTTCCTTAGACAATTAGAAGGAGAGGCTAAATCTTAATAGTGGCTATGAATCTGCAGGCCTTCCAAATATAGAGATGCTCCATCTGTAGCTCTGAAGATAATTTGCAGTCGCTCTAGCTTGAATAGTATCTGAAGGCCGTAATCATCAGAGCAAGTACAAGTACAGCCAGTGTGCCAATTGTTCTTTCCATAGATCGGTAGTCATTACATGTGATCACTCATATTTTTGTCATTTCATGTGTTATTGCAACTGTTGCATGAGAGCTGCTGTATTCGGTTTATGGTCATTTACTCACATACAGCCCTAGAAAATAGGTACACTCAAATCACCTTCAATCGAATGCTGATCCACAAACGATTCTGTAGAATACGTCAGGGGTGTCAAACTTGTAGTCCGCGGGCTGGATGCGTCATGTGCTTGTCCCGATACGACATATGACGACGATGTGACGATGACGTGAGTTTGACACCCCTGGAATACATGGTGACCCAGTGAATTTAAATAACAGCAAACTATACTGGTTACAATGTATATACTAGGGGTGTTATTCACTTAACTTTGCTACAGGTTTGCAAATGTGAGCGTGCGCCTCCACGCATGCGCAGAGCCTTCTGCACATGCGCAGAGGGTCAAAAATGGATGTGATGACTCCGGGCGGGTGGGCGGAGCCTCCCACTGCCAGCACTGCTGGATCGTGCAATCCGGATAAAGCCGGCTGAATTTCACCACTATTATATACCGTACATATATTTGCTTTTTCACATGTGTGTGGTATATGTACGTGTGCACATACATACAAACTTAGCCACAATTAACCTTAACTCTGCTGGCAGGCACTAGCTAGAGGGATGAAAAGTGCCAAGTCTGGATCCAAAACCACTCCAAGGTCTTCAGGACCCCTTTATCTCCCAGAGTCCTTGCTTTGTTGAGCCACAAGACTGGCTGCTAGTCTGGCCTTGTTGATTTTCAAGTCTGGTAGCTCTAATGGAATTTGGGGAGGGGTCTCCCAAGTTCTCAAACCCAATTTCTTTCGTCTGGTTTAGGTGACATTTTTTCTTCGTTTCCTTAATGACTTGGTTCCTTCTTATTTATTTCCTGAAGGGATCTTTTAGATAAGAGCCTGGTCCACCTTGCTTACCTGCCTTCATCATTTTTAGGTATGGAAGCTTCAGCCTAATCTTAAACAACTCACTGTACATGGGGCTGTTCATTCAGAAGTTTAGATCATGTGGCTGCCTGTATAGTTATTGACATATCTAAATTTAACCATGGAACAGTTCTATTCATTGGAGCAGCATTGGCTGCTAGTTAATTTCTGGGGCACAATTCAAGGTTCTGGTTGTCATCTACATGATTTGGTACCTGGCTATCTTCAAGAGCATCTACTCCAAAATGAATCTGTCCATCCAGTAAGATAAGGAAGAGAGGGCTTGTGGAGGTCCTGCTCCCAAGGGGATTCCATCTGCAGAGTTTGGCTTTAATAGTTGCCTTTTCACATCCAAACATCCTCTTGCAATTGAGCTATTGCAGATCCATGAAAACATGGCCCCTTGAGAGAGCACGTGGAAGGTGCTAAGGCCTGACTTTCTCCTGGTGGATGGCACTGTTTCTGTTTTGAGATTACACAATTGAATTATACACCGTTTTAATTTTTTATGACTTTATACCAGTTAGAGGTGCAGGAATAAAGTAGCACAGAAATCCAGGCAAATTAACATATACATTTCTTCTTTCAAGATCTCTCACTGTCAGAATAGGAAATGTAGTAGTGGAAAACTTTTCCAGACTCCAATATAAATTTTCCTAATGGGGGAAAGGAAATAAAGGAATGGTGGCAGGGAGAGTTCCAGAAAAAGCTATAAATTACAAGGCTCCCATTCTTTCCCAGCTCCTGACTTAACAGAAGGGAAGAAATATAAAAAAATACGCAGCCAGAAGGGAATGCCCACATCCTTGTTTTTGTCCTCTGCTCAGCAAACATCAGCTTGAATGGTATGTTAAACACAATCAGTTGCCCAGTTATCCAGGTTAAGTCTTCCATATAAGTGGCCACCATTATATGAAAAAAGATGTCACCCACCCATCTCTTCCCTTGAAATCCTACCATAACCAGTTAGGGCAGAACTGGACAATATGTGGCCTTAGGGCTTCATCTGGTCTCCTAATATCCTTCATTGTGGTCCTCAAAGCTGTCTCCTTTCTTAATAGTGGTAGACAGGAAATAAGAAAACTAAGCACTTCAATATTTCACCACCTGTTTTAAAACTTTTAAAAGTGTCCCCATTCAAAAGAACAGAAGATTCTCAGTCATCCAAGTCATAGTTGTCTCAAAGGTGGTTGTTTTGAAAATGCAACTGGACTGTTTTTTGTTGTTTGTTTTTTTGAGGAAGAAGAAGAAAAAGACGCTTCACTTCCCATCCAGGAAGCTTCACAGTTGTATTGGATGGTGGGGGAAATGGAAGGATACCTGTTTGTATTGGTGACTCCCCCACCATCCAGTACAACTGATGAAGATTCCGGGATGGGAAGCAAAACATCTTTTTCTTCCAAAAAAACAATAAACAGCCCCCTCCCCCTATTCAGTAGCCTTTTTAAAAAACAACCATCTTCAAGACAACTATTAGATTAGACTAACAGGGTTGGAAGGGACCTTGTAAGTCATCTAGTCCAAACCCCCCCCCCCCACATCCAAGCAGGAGACTCTACACCATATCTGACAAATTGCAGTCCAATCTCTTCCTGAAAGCCTCCAGTGGTGAAGCTCCCACAATTTCCAAAGGCAACTTCTGTTCCATTGGTTGATTGTTCTCACTGTCAGAAAATTTCTCCTTATTTCTAGGTTGAATCTCTCCTTGATCAGTTTCCATCCATTATTCTTTGTCTGGCCTTCGGATGCCTTGGAAAACAGCTTGACTAAGACTATGACCTGGATGATTGAGACTCTTCATAGACATTTCCCTATTCAAAAGGAAGTACAAAACCAATATCACCCAGTTTACTTCATTGCTTCAGTGAATATAACTCTAACACTGTCTTTGGCCTCTGAAAGATTGCCTGGCCCAAAATAGATACATCAAAACTCTAACTTGGTAAAGAGTCCTGAGATATTGCAATTGTATGTGAGATTGTGAGAATGACCTTGGGAGACGAGGGAAAGAGCCACACCAGGGGAACAATCAGATTAGAGGCAACTTCGCCCTCAGCAAGAATGTGGATGTGGCAAGCATATCAGGAGGGACCCTTCCTAGTTTCTTGACTATACAGATGATGGTGGTGTGGATGGATGGATGGATGGATGGATGGATGGATGGATGGATGGATTGGGGAGAAATTTCCGGCTTGAAATATTCTATTAATGTAAGCTTGTAGTAAAGTAGTATTACTTTATCTGGGCATGCTTCTCATCTGTACTACCTCACAAGGCTGACATCAGCCTTACTAGTAATTACAGTGGCTCTTCCCCCTTCTCCCAAGGTCATTCCCACACACCATTACAGAGATAAAACAGGACAAGAAGATATTGTATCCCTCAAAAGACAGAGAAACAATTCTGCTTAGAAGACAGCTGTCTTCATTAACTGACAGCATCTTTTTAGCCTCTGAGATTCTGTTTTCTTGCAAGGCATACCTGATGTAATGTGTTTTGCAGTAGATTTCAGGCTTTCCTGCAGTTGCCAGCACTGAAGTTAGCATGTTCCTTGAGAGAACTTCTTTTGTCTCCTAGAAGCACAATGGATACAGCAAGCCACAGCCTGATCCTCCTGCAACAACTCAACATGCAGCGAGAATTTGGCTTCCTTTGTGACTGCACAGTTGCAATTGGAGATGTCTACTTCAAAGCTCATCGAGCTGTCCTGGCTGCTTTTTCCAACTATTTTAAGATGATATTCATTCATCAGACAAGGTAAGTCAGTGTCCTTTTTTGAAGAACATTTAAGACTCACATTGACTTTTTGATGGGAGCTTCAGAAATTACAGTTCTCACGTGATCTTTAGCATTTTATTTGCTGGCCTCTATATATATCATGGAAATTTCTGGTGGGCATGACTTCAAATAACCTATCTGTTTATCCTCCAAATGGCCTGCAAAATAAAGATAGTAAATTAGGAGCTCAGATAAAAGGGATCATTTTAGTGATGGACAAGATGATCTTCATTTTAATTATTATATAGATTATTATATAGGAGCATTTTTTGAATTTGGCAACTTTAGGATGTGTGACTGAAAATTCTGGGAAATAAAGTTTACACGTCTTAAAATTGCCAAGTTTGATAAATATTGGTTTAAAGGATACAGTTATATATCAGAAAACAGACTTACTATGAGAAGATTCTGTTTCATAGCAGAAGAGTTATTGGAGGGTCCCACTGTTGGATGGTTCTTCTCCCATCCAATCATAGGTCTGTGTGAGTCTGTGGCCATTTATGTTTTGGTTGCAGTGACAACAGAAGCATATCTGGTGTTTGTTTATTGCCTGGAAACTGTGACCTTCATGGAAAATCTTCCACAAGCTCAGTGTTCCTATTGGAAAGACTGTTGTGAACTTTCCCCTCCTCTTTAGCTGAAAATAGGGATGTTATCTTTGATTTAATCTGGGAGGAAACTCAGCAAAAAGGGCAAGCAGGCCGTGGGAGAAGTTGGGCAGGGACTTGTAACTTTTAAGAAATGTATGCTTCCTCCTGTCTATCAGTGTACTAGGTGTGAATCTTCCTCCCTCTTTTTCTTCTTCTTTTCTTCACAATTATAAATAATCCTTTCTGGGTGCTAAATTTTATGAGTTGGGTTGTCTGGCTTTTGAGGCAAGAAAAAATTCCCAAGCTTTTCTTTCTCATCTCTCTTATGTTCAAAGGACAGCACTGCTGTCACTCCTAACAGCATCAAGTCGCCACTCTTGAGTGGGGAAAACACTTCTATTAGCGTCACTCCTGAGAGCTGTTAAGAGCAATGTGGGAATGGGGGAGCAGTTTTCAAAACAACACACTTCCCTCGTGGGTGTCACCAGGGAGAAATCAGGATGGTGGCCGCAGTCTCCAGATGACACTGTTCTTGTAATCTCAAGCCAGGAGGAAAGCATAACAATCATTTGTATGTAAATTAGCCTAGAGTATCTGCCAGCTTTTCTTCTTAGATATGCAGTGACATTTTAATATATTTTCATGACCAATATTTTCCTAATATTTTTTTCCATTTTATGCACCTATATATGACCGTTACTTTGGAATTCCATTTTATGCATTAATAGAAGGGCCTCCGAATCCTTGAAATTGTATATCTTAATTAACATATTGGTTCTTAAGGCTCCTTTGAGACATACTGAATATGCTTGTCTTCATTCTTCTATAAACAGAGCTTTAACCATGATGTTCTTACTTAACTCTCACTTTTGTTTCAAGCAGTGAATGCATAAAGATTCAGCCCACTGATATCCAACCTGACATATTCAGCTACTTGCTTCATATAATGTACACTGGCAAAGGACCTAAACAGATGGTCAATCATACGCGACTAGAAGAAGGCATCCGTTTCCTGCATGCTGACTATCTTTCCCGCATGGCAATTGAAATGAACCAGATGCTTTCTCCAGAGGTTGTGCAGTCTTCAAACCTTTATGGGATTCAGATCTCAACCACGCACAAGGCTATGAAGGAGAATCTCCAAGCAAAAGAAAATTTAACCAATATTGGTAGTAGAGCCACTAATCAGGGAGATCACCCTCAGCTCCAGCTATCTCTGGCAATTGGGCTGGATGATGGGTCTTTGGACCAGCAGGTTTCCCATCCTTCTACCAAGACACCTGGGAAACCACCAGAGGAGGCTGCAAATCCACCTGTGACTATAAAGCAAGAGAAGACTGATGCAGAGCCAGTTGTGTCTCAGAGTCACACATCATCCTCCCCAAATCCCAGGGGTCCATCCTTTTCCAAAGAAAACCTCAAAGTTCATTTATGCCAGTACTGCGGGGAACATTTTGAATCCAGGAACAATTTATGTGAACACTTGTTTACTCATGTGTCAGAATCATTGCCCTTCAGGGTTCCCACCTCCATCTTGGAAAGCAATAACCTTAGCCAACTACAGCCACTCAGTGAAAACTGTGAAGCTACTGAAAGCCACCGACTCAGTTCCTTCCTTCAGAAAGAAAACGAGCACTACTCAGAATATCCCAGCCACCCCAACTTAGAGGCACTGCCAATTGGCCAGCTGTCACTAGTGTCCAAGGACACAGAACCTGTGGAACTAAACTGTAACTTTTCCTTTTCACGGAAAAGAAAGATCAGCTGCACTGTTTGTGGTCACAAATTTCTCCGAAAAAACCAGCTTCTTGAACACATGTATACGCACAAAGGTAAACACTTCAAATTTGCCCGATACCAGCGGGTTGGCAACACGGCAGCCGTCAAGTTTCAGCCATATGGTGACAATTGGATCCCAAGTATGGTGAAAAGCGGCACTATCTCACAAGCTCAGGTGGAGTCACAAAACACATTGGATCCTGACCTCTCTCAAGAGAGCATTGATACCATACTTGTGGAATAGTTCTCTCCTTTTCCATTCTCTTTGACCTGCAAGTTTGTAGCCTGTGCATTCATGCATTCAGCCCTATTGTATGAATACTGTTGAAGGAGTTATTTGTTCTTCTGAAATACACCCTGTTTATGTTCCTAGTTGGTGGGTCAGCTATTTTCCAGAATATCCCCAGTAATGTATGCCATCAGGAATGCATTTGGAAAAAGCATATGATATAGCCAGATCTTTGTACATATTTTTGTACATAAAATATGTAAAATATTTTGTACATAAAATATTGCTGAGAAATACAATCAGAGCCAATGAAAGAATGGAAATTTCACATGCAGGAAGTATTTGGTTCAGACTGATTGCTGGAACTTAAAAGACCATGGAATGCTATTCTCTGTCAACATTGGGTTGTGATACATGTTCTGCTCAGTCCACTGTTGTGGAAGATGTGATAGTCACAGATATTTTTAATAATAACCATATAATGCTGGCATGTCACCTGTAGAGTTTTCCATGATACATCAGGTTGGGAGGACAACAAAGGGAAATTGCAGTACTCATAAAAGAAAATGGTTATTGTAAATCATATTTAATTTAAATTAAATATGTTTTAAATTAATATTCTGTTTAATGTTCTTCAGTTTAAAGAAGGGTTATAGCATGTCACTGATTAGTTCACTAGTTATGATGAAATTAGATTAAACAATTCAAGTTCTGTAAAATAATTCTTTTGTTCAGTTGCATTATTTCTTGTGCCAGGCTAGAAATTGTTACACACCGAAATGTAATTTTAATAAAATGACTTCGTTATCAGCATGTGGGAGGTTGATCCAAGGCACAGCACTCAAGATACCTTTTGGGAATCTTCTATTTTTTTTATTAACACAGCAAAGCAAAAGAAATTTTCAGTTTCAGTGTTTTATTGCAGCATCTTAGCCAGACAAACTAAATTGCTTTTCTGTTCCATTCCCACCTTACTTACTGATAAGTAGCCAGGAAGCTACAATAATACTATAAAGCAAAGCAATATCAACAAATATATATAATTCTAAACATTTCTACTAATGTGATCAAGTACTTTCTACTTCTGAAAAAGTTTACCTTGTTACCTCTGGGTCAAAATTATTTGCTCAATATGAGCACTCTTATGTTTACATCAATGTTTATCAGACACAGCAACTTAACTTGTGAGGACTTCCAACTCCCAGAATTTCCCCAATCAATTTGCTTTAAATTGTTGAGATTAGGAAGTACTAGTTTACATTCTATCCTTATTTCTTATATAGAAGTAAAATGGGTTGATTACACTGCCTAGCATTCTCTCAAAATTTCAAAACTGTGTCTCGCTTATTTTGGCCATGTCACTGGAGAAAGCAATTATGCTTGGAAAAGTTAGGGGTAAAAGGAAACCAGGCCACCAAAGAACGTATGTGAATCATATGGTTCATACCACCACATATTCCATTACTTGCCCTCCTTGCATCTGCTATAGACACGTATACTAGAGAGTGGGTGTTCCATTTTCTTTCTGGTACAGTGCAATTTAATTGATACTTAATGCTGTTATGGTTAAGGTGATAACCATAGAGTGGGTTACAACACTGAAAGCATCTTGCTTTCTAAAGCATTAAAGCATGTACCAATTGATTCTGGTAATAATTCTATGTTTTAAATTCTTCACTCATTATTAAAAATTAAGGAAAGAAACTCAGTAATTCTGTATTGTGGATTCTCATGTTACTTTTCTTAAAAAAAAAAAATTGAGTATTTTACATTTTAAAACCAAACACACAATAGCAAAAGAAATCAAGAGACAAAAACAAAAAACAAAAACACACGCACATCAGACGTTAAAATACAATACTGACAACAGACATATACAATTTTACAACTTTCTGCATCGACTTTTGTCTTTACTCTTAGCTTTTATCCTCCTGCTCCTCCTCTTTATTTTTAAATATTCATAATTAACTGTTTTGTTAGCAGGATCATTATTTACATTTATATCCAGTATGTTAATATCAAATTTCTCTCATGTTACTTTTCTATAACAGCTCGCACCAGATCTTTGTATGACTGGTTTCCCAAGCATCTTCTGCAGAATTAAGGGTTAGTTTGGATGAAGACTCTGACATAAAAATGAAAGTTACGATGGATTTGTGGAGAGTTGGCAACAGGGGTGAAATCCAGCAGGTTCTGACAGGTTCTGGAGAACCGGTAGCAGAAATATTGAGTAGTTCAGAGAACTGGCAAATACCACCTCTGGCTGGCCCCAGAGTGGGGTGGGAATGGAGATTTTGAAATATCCTTCCCCTGGAGTGGGATGGGAATGGAGATTTTGTAGTATCCTTCCCTTGCCACGCCCACCAAGCCACACCATGCACACCAAGCCATGCCCACAGAACCGGTAGTAAAAAAATTTGGATTTCACCACTGGTTGGCAATGTATAAATTTGATCACTCAACAACATAACTAGTGATAGAATATATACTTTGCATACAGACATTTCTAAGTTCTGTTCCTAAACTCCCCAGCTAAAAAGTTTGGTAGAAAGTAGTGGAAGAGACAGGTAGAATCAGTGACAAAGGAACGGTTTTTCCAGTGTGGTCTTTTGTTCTGATACGTACAGGTAGTCCTCAGGTTACAAGCCCTTGTTTTCTGTCTTTCTGTTATTTTCATTCTATTTAGTGACCGTTCAGAATTACAACAGTGCTGAACAAGGGGGACTAATGACTGGTCCTTAGAATTCTGGCTATTGTAGCATCCCTGCAGTCACATGACTGGATTACAGGCATTTGGTGCCCAGCTTGTAATTACAGTGTTTCAGCTAGCCACAATCATGTGATTTCCAATGTTCACAAGCAAAGCCAATGGGGAAGCTTGCAGGAATTCAGAAGTCACTCCTGCTGCTTTTTTGCCCACCTGTGCTCTGCAGAGCCTGTCCAGAGCACTCCTCTACAGCATTTGCACACCCGCTGAGCTGCTTCTTTAAATCTGGGACTCCTGCCTCTACCTGCTTAACCCATGTGGTCCTGGAGTTACAACGTCATCTGGGAGTACTGAGATTTCTGTCGCTAAATGATATGGTTACATGATGTCGTGCGTTATGACTGCATCACTTAGCCATGGAAATTCCAATTGTCATTGTAATCTAAGGATTTCAATGTATTAAATCTACCTGTATTTCCTGCAGTGAGCAGGAGCATAGATGATCATCACAGAAATCTTTTTGTTAACAAGAACATGGTATTGGTATTTTCCCCATACATACTTTTTAAGATTTTCTACAAATACCCTGCATTTGTTCATATATGCAAAAGAGTGATATCTTTGCAAAGCAATGTATAATTTTTAAAATATAAAATTGCAGTTGATTGCAGAAATAGTGTCCTTGGAGAAACTTTTTAGAATTTATTTATTTTATTTATTTATTTTATTCAATTTGTATACCGCCCTTCTCCTAGTGGACTCAGGGCAGTGCACAGCCAGAACTAAAACACATACCAATACCAAAGAATTAAGGCCTTTTTAGAGGATGCAAGATCATGTTTTGTGCACTGGCCTAGTAGGAAGACAGAGGTGCTGGGAGCGTCCTTCAGATTCTAGTTATCCTTCTCTGGCTACAGCTGCAAATACTGTGACTTTGCATCTTGCCTTCAGTTTCATTTCAGCACAAACTTTCTCAGAACGATAGGAGTTTGTTGGCCATTAGATGGCAGCCAAGTGCTATGAAAAATTAGTTCTTCCAGTTTTAAACTCTGCCAATGATGTTTTCCACCTTCATTGAATCATGTGCTTTCACTAAAAATTAACCTATCCCTCACTTCCTGTGTTATTTTTCAGCACAATAGATGTTGAAATTTATAAAGAAATAATTGTGGGTAGTCCTTGAATAACAATGGTAATTGGGGCCAGAATTTCCCTCACTAAACAACGCAGTCGTAAAGCATAATGTCATACGACAGCATCACTTAGCAATGTCAGTCCCAGCAGATTCCATTGCCATTGTTAAACAAGGTTTGTAGGTTATTAATCTTGCAAACTATCTGCCAGCTTCCAACAACCAAAGTCTGTGGGGAAGACAGCAGGAAGTTCAAAGCTCTAAGAAGCTCACAAGCCGATGGTAAGTGTTTGTTGCAAGGTGCAGGAGGGCATACGAGGTCATATGTAAACATGACAGGGCTTGGGGTGGCTGCTACAGGGTGTGCAAGGGGTGGATCTGGCACAAGCATGGTGGGGTGGGTGTAGTTGCTGCTGGTGGAAGACACCAGAGCGATCTGTGATCTATGCCAGTTTCCCAATTGACTTTGTAGGAAGTCAGCAGGGAAGATCACAAATGGAGATCACATGACCACAGGACACTACAACTGTTGTAAGTGGCAGCTGGTTGCCAAGTGCCCAGACTCTGATCACATACCAAAGAGTGCTGGGACAACTAGAACTTTGAAGTCTGATTGTAACTACCCTGTTTCCCCAAAAATAAGACCCAACCGGAAAATAAGTCCTAGCATGATTTTTCAGGATGCTCATAATATAAGCCCTACCCCCAAAATAAACCCCAGTTAAGATTGTCAGCCAGATGGATGCATTAGGACCGCATTTCCCCCAAAATAAGACCTAACCAGAAAATAAGAGCTAATGAGTCTTTTGGAGCGAAAATTAATATAAGACCCGGTCTTATTTTGGGGGAAACACAATACCACCCATTCAGCTCAGTCCTATCTTCCAATGGAAACCCCATTCCCTAATAGCACTGATGATGTTACCCAATTTGGATAACAAAGCATATACAAGAAAACAGCCAAGCTCAGACAGCATCAAGGATCCCTCACTGAAAAAATGGTTGTGGAACCGAGGATTACCTGCATGTATCTCACTACAGCTTAGTTCTTGGTAACTCCAGGGACACCTCCATGCAGCTTCTGATATTACTCCAGATCATCTGAGTGCTGCTAACCTCTCCAAAGCAGCCCACAAATTAAAGCGTCTCTTCTGCATGTTTCTTCAACATGATGGCCTCCAGATGTGTTCGTCTATATGGTTTGTGGGTGCTGGTGGCTAAGAATTCCAAGAGCTGTCATTCCAACCTACTTCAAAGGTACTAAGCCAAGCATCGATGGTCCATGTTAAGTCTAAGATTAGATTTAACTAAGAGTATTTGTTTTTGAAAGCTCATTTTCTCCAAATAGCTCTTGCCTTCCTTCTGGCTTGCAACTTTATATTAACTATTTTGCAAAGCTGGCTGCAGAGCTGCTTTGCTTTTTTCCTACTGTGCTCTTTGTGCTGCCACAATACAGCTGAAAGGTGGGTGAATTGTTCCATTGCTCAGTTCATTTTCAGGAATAACTCTTTAGTATGACTTAACACACAGCTTGAACACCTTTTTATCTTTAAATACAAAAACCAGTGAAAATATTGGAATGCCTGTCTGTGTATCTGGGTGTACCGTGACATTTGAAACAATTTGAATGGAAAAACAAATTATCGCCTGTAATAGTTACAAACTCCAAAAAGGCAGATTCCCCCTGTGTTCTCTAACTTTTAGATTGCACCTTTTCTGAATGCATAGCTATGTAGTTTAAAAAAAAACATGTAGAGATGTAGCAAGCAGCAAAGTGGCTAGATTCAAACCAGGGCGAACATATTATTCCTTTCAAATAATTGCACTTTCAGATGCAATCATAAAAATTAAGAGGTACTTTGGTCATGTATTAAACTTTTATT